TAAAATGTTAATATTTATTTTGTTAGCTAAGTTATATATGGAATATTAATTTCGTTTTTAATGTAATTTGGAAACAATGACATTTTATAAAAATAATAAACTAATATAATGATGTGTCATTATACGATTGGAGGACTTAAATCCTACGTGGACGTCCTCAATGGCTTATAGCCTCAACTTTTATATAGTATAGATTTCCAAATTGTGCTCCACTCATAAAGCCAGCAACTATAGCCTACAAATTAAGACTGTCAAAATTTATGAAATGACGGTAATGACCATTTTAGGGGCTTTTTGTGTACCATCCACACTCTTGGGCATCTTAAATTGTCAATTCTGATGAGGATTGTGGACTCATATAACAATATTGTCTACTATAGGATAAAGCTAACGAATCAAAATATATAAGTAGTTTACACAAAACTTCACAGGAAGTGCCAAAGACAATGGAAAAAATTAAATTTCTAACAAATTTCTACAAAACAGACCAAGGATTATCTGGTCGTAATCTGGCGGATGCAACATACTGCACTATGTGAACAATGCTATAGTTGCTGATCCAGTAGAGGCCCATATAAAATCAAAAATAGGCCCATAATTTGGAGGGAAAACTTGAACGGGTATTACAATATCCAACCGCTTTAAAATAGTTTTTGTGTAACTTGCTTCCCTTTTTCTTAAAAATATCAACCGATCACAATCCTCTTCTTCTAAAAAGCTGCGTCATCTCTACGAATGCATTTTGTCGTCTCTTTTGAATCCTCCGATCAATCTCTTTTCTCCATCGCTGCACGCTGCGTGGTACGTTCTCTCTCTCGTCTCTTCTCCGATTCCTTTGTGTTGAGCTGAGGTTTCGTCTTACGTATGTGCGTATATATATCTATGCTTAATCGATTGTAGAATATTTGTTTACCGATCATCTGTTTTCCTCTTTCGTGATATGATTGTTTGCTACATGAGTGACTTTTTTCGGTCATATCCGTAAAAACGGTGTCGTTTCTGGATTGTTTGAACTATGGATATAGGAGTTCTTTTTTTTTTTTTTTTGGTTCGTGCGAATTATAGTTATTTTGCTTTAGAGTCGGATGCAGAGAAGAAGAGACTAAATCGGTGATTAGCTGTTTGGTTGTTCAAGACTACTTTCAGCAACGGGTGGCAAGCAAATCTAAGCTAGCTAGTTTGGGATATATATAATCTTGAGTAGTAGTTTCCTATTAGCATCAGACTAGGCTTTGTATCCTGCAGGTTTAGAGGCAATGAGTATCTTTCAAACGTCAGGTAGTTGAGAAACTAGTACATCTATAGATTCAGGTTAGAAAACACACATCTTCCTCCTTGAGGAATCCTTAACATTTTAAAAACATTTGAAGTTACGGCAGTTTCTCTTTCGAAATTGCATTTATTCTAACACTTTTTTTTGATATGCTAGTCCCTTATGCTAGTCTTTGTGACTCATTAGGATCGGTGAGAGCTATTCTCGTGCCAGTTTTATTGATGCTCTCTGTTTGGCAGATTGTTGCAGACCTTCTTGGTTGTTTTGAGAAACAAAAGTGAACATGGAGTCAGATAAGTCTACCAAGATTTATTAGCGTGGTTAGTTGTACTCTGTTTTTTTATGGCCGATAACTAAATTTTATGGTAGAGAAAAGGCTTTGTGAAGTTTACCTGATCCAGTTCTTCCACCAATTCTGTTCTGATCCCACTAAGTTAAATACTACAACTTGTCTGCCATCGGTCACATGTGTTAATCAGTTAAGGATGCTTGAAGTGTGGTTTAAGATAGCCATGGGGAGAAGACTTCTATCTTTCTTACGGGAAGACAACCATCCTATTAAGCAAACACACAAATTGCTTACAAGTATCCTTTCACACGATCTACTTTCTTTTACAAGCCCTTGTGATAGTGGAAGCAGGTGCTGATCTAGGTGAGCTGGGCCTGCTGGGAGGTGTTAACATAATAAGAGTTTCAAAATAGTAAATTGAGGTTGTAAGCGTTAGCTGGCCAGCAGCACTTTTGGTGACTAAGCCCGTTTACCTAAGGGAGCGTTAATGTAGATTCACATATGATTCTGAACCTGAAGTGAAGAGATTACATTTGGTGTAGTAGTAAATTCAAGGCCCTAATTGCTTCCCGATGATTTTTCGTGGTTGATGTGTGGAAATGGTGAATCAGTTGCTCAATCAAGCATGGCGGATTTTTTTTACTGGTGTAGTTTAGTGTATTCTTGGTTGGGAGTGTTAAACCTATTACCCAGACCTAGATTATTTGCCTGCAGGAGAATTCTTGGAGGGTTTTGGCTCAGAAAATTAAACTCATGTCCTGCTACTGATATATCCTTGTAAATTCTTGAGCATGCCAACAGTATGTATCTGTCTGTATATGTTGATAGAAGCTGTAATGGTCATATCAAATGTTATCTGTTCTGGATGAACTTGCTTTGATGCTCTTCAGTGCATGTACATTATATGATTATTATCTATCATGCCTAATTCTCGATGGACTGTTTCTGTAAAATTTATGAAGTTCTTGACCCTGCGTAAATCTCTTGTTTAAATGAACTTCTTGTCCTAATGTACTAGAGCATATTCTTGTTTGTTTTCTGTCTCTTATTTTGTTTTGCCTAAACAAAGAGAAAGGGTAGGTTTCTGTTTTATTTACAAAATCTTATATGCAAGATCTGTACTAGTTAAGGCTTTTTCCTATCTAAAGCAACAGGAACTTTCCAGTAGGACAGAGTCCAACTCCTCGGAAACTTGTTTTTATGATATCATGAGCACTGAGGTATAGTATGGTAGATACTAGATACGGGTAACAATGGTGATTGATATATAGAATCTGTGGACTGTTTTCTTAAATATGACTTCTCATTCTTTTAGTATTCGCCTAATTGCCTGGTTTATATTCTTCTAGAGAGAATTACTATAGTTTATTTTGAGAATATCTCTATCAGTATACCATTGTTTCTTTTCCTTTATACCTGAAGTTGATGTCCGTCCTAAAATGTGTAGTCTTCTCTCCGCATATTAAATCTTACAGTTTGAGTAGGCTCATGTGTGGGGTTTGAGGTAACTTTGTCTTGGTGATAGTAAGGTTCTTCAGTTGCAAAAATTGGAGGTTTGGGCTTAAAATGTGTGACTATAAGACTGAAAACAAATAGGTGGCTCGTTTTCAGAAACCATTTGGTTCTTCTGAGCGAAAGCAAATATGACTTTAAGAAACAATTCTTAAAGAAAACTGAGATTGAAGAAATATATTTATGAACTTGCAAATGATATTCTGGATGAGTTCTGAATGTTGAGAGAATTTTCTGTGCAGGGTTAGTTGGACTCCAAGGTTGAAGATTTGTGTAATCATGGGGCACAGACATTTTCCTGGTTCATCCCAATTTTTCGATGATGGACATGATCAAGGCTGGAACCATATACACCCAAGACATCCATATACGAGTCCAGGTAATTAGTCCTCCATTCCTATAGATCCTTATTCTGTGATTGAAATCAATATTTTAACCACGTTGTCCATTGATAGATGTTCATACTCAACCTGTGTAAGAGCTATTGCGTTGGTGATGCATGTGTATTTTTAGGTTGAGAAGTTCCGTGTGGTTTTCCCTCATGGGTAGATTGGGTTTCAGTAAGGGCAAAAATGAATCTTGATAGGTGATACCCTCAGGTAGTGAAACTAGGAAGCAGCATTTTATAAACATCGCATATATCTTCTCTTTCTCCTGTGAAATCGTGTCTGGAATGTCTGATTCATATTATCATCCGCCCCACGGTTTCTCAGCAGGAACTGGGACCAGTGAGAACAGATCGCATGTTTATCCAGCAGAAAACATGTTGAATGAAGAAATGCCAGTTTCTTCGCACTGGAACTCTTCTACGGGACCAAATGCCTATACTGCTTCAGCTCATGGTGTGGAGTGGCCACACTACAGTCACGTTCCATTCATGAGTTCAGCAGCTGCAACTTTCTCTGCTCCACATGAACATTATGTGACATCTGCATCTTCTTCAAACTGCAACAGCCAGAGATGGTCAAATGATAACATATTTGATCTACCTATGGAAAATGTGAGAGGAGCACAGAAGCGGAAAAACCCATTCGATTCTTCCTTATATGAAATGGGTAGTTCAAGCCATTACTATGGTGACAGAACTTCCTCAGACATCCCTTTTCCCTTTCCGTTACACATGGAAAAATCACTAACTCATGATCATGATCCTCATTACATGCCGTGGCTAATGAACCCAACTTACAGAAGTAATAATCTATCAATCAGGGGAGAGAGTTCTTCAAGGAATGTCCGGAGTCGTCCTACGCTTGATTTAGAGACCAGCGTAGATAGAAATCAATTTTCAAGAAGCTCGGGCCTTGATTCTCATCGTACACACCACAATGTTGAACATTCTACCTCAGTTCAGTTTCCTGGTCAGGACTCTCTCTGGAATAAGGACTGGAACTGTCCTAGACACTCCCCGTTTCCTGGAAGTATGTAAATTTTCACTTCGTCCCTCTTGAGTTCAGATTCTAATCTGCATTCTTTAACCACATGAACTCTTTGCAGATCAAAAAGTCTTTAGTCCAGAGACAAATAATTTTCTTCCTCCGAGAAGTGTTGGCAACAGCACATCTGTTGATACCTCTGGCTATCACCAGGGGACAATGGGAAACAGAAACTCTACAGTTTCCCATGGTTTTCCCGGAACTTCAACACAATCTGCAAGCAGCTCCCGCTCCTCTCACAGATCAACACCCACCTATAGATCTTCTTCAAACGGTTTGCGATTGGAACATGTAGCATCTTCTTCTGGAGATAGGTCGCATTTGGTCAATGATACATATCCTTCTAGGCATATGAGGCCACCACCACACTTTTCATTGCGTAGCAGTGATTGCCCAGGGAGACGCAGGAGTTCCTTTGAGAGGTTTCCGCCTCCTTTCGATGAAGTAGATGACCGTTTCTCATCTCAGGTATAGTTTATTTTTTCCCAACCAAACTTGCCAATAAAAAAAAAAGCTTATACCGGAGCTCAAGCCACTGTGATAGTTGATATCTAGCATTTAACTAATGGGACCAACTCTTCAGAAACTTGCCTTCATAAACTCTCATGTTTCTTATTCTGCTGCAGACTGAACTGTCTTTTATTAATTTTTATGCTGCAGGCATTTATGGTTGTAGATCACCAACCACACTACGGATCCAGAAACATGCATGATCACCACAGAGACATGAGGCTCGATGTCGATGACATGACATACGAGGTTAATTACAAAAGTCTTGGTCTTTTCTAATCCCCAGAAAGCCAAATTTCTTGCAACTGATGTATTTTTTCAAATGGTTGACACTGTTCAGGACCTTCTTGATCTTGGTGAAAGGATTGGGAGTGTCAACACTGGTCTATCCAACGGCGCAATCTCCAGTTGCTTGTTAGAGGCTATGTATCACCCATTGTATCAAACAGACGAGCAAAGAAAATGTGCAATCTGCTTGGTAAGATTTGCAAAAGTCTGAAAACATTTAAATGTTTTATATAAAGAGGCTAATACGGGGATTGTGGTAATGTATAGGAGGAATACAAGGAAAGAGAAGAGTTGGGGGAACTTAAAGGGTGTGGTCATGAGTACCATGGAGGGTGCATCAAGAAATGGCTGTCTATGAAAAATTCTTGCCCTATTTGCAAATCACCTGCTTTGCCCTGATGCTTCTAAGAATACCCATATGATAAAATAAAACTATACATATGTATATTCGTTTTTCTTTTGCTGAAAGGAAAATACGATTGACAACAACACTAAGTTCTGCTGGTTAGTAACAGTTGTAAATAGAAGAAAGTTCAGGATGTATAACAAGTGCTGTACTATATGTTATTGGTGAAATATTTTTGAATACAGAACTTATGTACTACTCATAACACCATTTTATGAACATATATGATCTCTTACTACTAAGAGATCCTCAATACAGTTTCAACAAAGCAGCTTGAAATTGTTAGGGAAAATACAATGCTCATATATTAGCTTTTTTTATTATCAAAGGTCATATATTAGCTTTTTTTATTATCAAAGCTCATATATTAGCATATACATATTAACTTTAACAAAGAAAAGGCGAGGATAATTGGAACATGCACCAATCTCCAGTGGATCTACCCATGTGTTTGTTTGATATCATCTGTTGTGATCATCGGAGACTTGTGTAGTCAGTTTAATGGCATTATTAAGAGGTTCCACTCCTTTGCCTTTGAAATTGATCTTACAAAAGATCAAGATACTTACAAATTTTGTATATGAGCAAGTATTCAGGTTATACGGCAATAATCATCATAGCTCACCAAGTTATAGATTAGGATACTCGCTAGTTTAGGTAGCGGATATGGCCTTTTCTGGAGCTATTCATAACTTAGGATACTAGCTAATAATGTAGCCTTGGAGATAATCAAACTAATTACAAATATACTAAGGTTGTGATAAAATTTTAAATGTAATGGATAAGGCCTTAGAAAATTTTCTAAAGGTCAACTCATATGCTAGTTAGTCACGTTCATTTACCGGACAAAAATAATCTGACTTAGAAATAAATAAATAAATAATTATAAAGCAATAAGTCAATAATACACTAACATATTAACACATTGTTATGGAATGAAACGACAGGAATTCAGAACTACTACAAAAATATAATTCAAGTATTTCTAAACAAAACTTCGTATTTAAACAAATCTAAACAAACTCTTTGACATTTGAAAGGTAAATTAATATTATTGTTTTGGGTAGGCCTGGGCGTTCGGGTACCCGTTCGGGTTCGGATCGGGTATTTCGGATATCGGTTATTTTTTGTAACACCTCTTATGTCCCATTTTAAGAAATTGTTAAATTCGGATCGGGATCGGATATAACACATCGGTTTCGGTTCGGGTTCGGATTATACTGAAGTTACCATATATTATTTGGGTTCGGGTTTTACTGTATCGGTTTCGGATTAACTAAAGTAAAATTCAAAGAAAACAAATAAACAAACACTCATAAGTTGACTAGATAAGAACTAAGAAACATATCTCTCAAAATTAATAAACTCAAACTTAGTAAAAATGTTTGCAACAACACACTAATACCATAGTAGAAACATAAAGTTTTAAAATGGAAAACAAACTGAGACAAAACCGCAAACAGATTACTATGATTCATATGACACAGAAGACTCAGATTGATTTTTGAAAATCAAGTCCTTTTCGGATTGAGTTCTTGAAATCAAAGATGGTGGAGGAGATAGAGAGAATTGCATGTTTGTTTTCTGAACATACTCTTCGATCAAACACTTTATTTTAATAGGAGATTAGGTTTTTGAAACTAGAAGAAGAAGAATCGCCCCTAAGGTTATTATGAAAGGTGTGGTTGTGTCTAGATTTAGTTGTGTCTTAGAATTGAAAATAACAAAGTGTGGTTGTGCCTTTTTGGAAATTGTCAAAATCAATAATGATTAATACGTGTGTATATTTACTGTACATTATACATATAATCAGTTATTTCGGGTTTTAGTTCGGATATCGGATTAAACCGAACCCGAACCCGATATCCAAAGTATCAGCATATCAAACCCGATCGGATATTTTGAAAGATCCATAACCGGTCGGGTTCGGGTTTTTCGGTTTGGGTTCGGATAATATGATCTAAAGATGTTTCTTTTTACATGTAATTTCTGCATAACTCATGTCATACGTATCTAGAAAAACCACATAGACTTTTAGATGTAAAGGAAGAGAGAATCATTTACATGATGGGTTTTAATGAAAGTAAGTGAATTGGCAACAAAGCATTATGTGCGTGTTCAAGTGAATGGATTGGACGGTAAAGACGAGAGTATTACAGCCACCATCGGTCACAATCTACTATATAAAAGTTGAGGCTATAAGCCATTGAAAGTGTCCACGTAGGATTTAAGTCCTCCAATTGTATAATGACACATCATTATATTAATTTATTATTTTTAGAAAATGTCATTGTTTCCAAATTATATTAAAACAAAATTAATATTCCATATATAATTTAACAAAAAGATAAATATTAACATTTTACAAATTACATAAAAATGTTAACTTTATAAAAAAATGGAAAATAAAAAATAAAAACGTAATATTAACAATATATTATTGTCTTTTTAAATATACTAAATGCAAAATATCATTTTTAGAAAATTTCAATGCCCCAATTATATTAAACACGAAATTAATATTCCATATATTATTTAACTAAAAA